CCCCAAATATATATTTCCTGAAATCTAACCTTTTAGATAATTTATAATTCTTAGTTTTTGTTTACTTGAAACAAACAAAGTTCATTTTTATCCTATTTTATAAACAATTGCTTCTACTTTATATATTATGAAATAAAAGAATAACAATTTTAACCTTCTCCTTGCATAAGAAATGTATTTGATAAGGTATATTAATCATTTTATTAATTAAATTTATAAACAAACATAGTTCTGCTCATCCAAGGGTGAAAAACAAAAGAATCATCACCAAAACAGATTGCTTAAGTTCCAAAGTTATCCATATTTATTATTTAAACAATTTTCCATTATTATATTTAATTATTTTGTTATTAAATTATAGTTATGTTATGGTCTCCATTGCAAGAAATTATTTTATTTTAAGACTCATTAAAACTTAAACTGTAAACCCAATCAAATCCATCAATTAATTATAAATCTAATTTTTATACACATAAACCATTTTCTTCCCAAAAATAAATATATTTTTAAAGTCCAGTAACTAATAAATTATTTTTTTCACTTATTGCAAAACAACTAAAACTGTTTTAATCTACTTAAATTTTCCTTTAGACTTTTGAATTATTTTTACCAATAAAAGATCTTATTTTAATCATTTGATTACAACCTGATATTAAAATTTTGTCTCTATTGGAGTTTAAATATGTCAATTCTTAATTGCTGTGATATAATTCACCAATCTTCTATAGTAATCCTTTATGAAAAGCATAAATCTTTATTTTTTTATCGCTTCCAATGCACAATAATGAATTTTTATTATTAAATTTCATTGTTCTACACATATCATATTATAAATAGGAATTTTTGACTTCTCCGATAAATTAATCAAACTATTAAGAGGTCTAACTACTGTTCTATTATTTCCTCTATATTTTATTAGAGTTTCCCATAAAAATTTATAATTAATTAATTTGGATTTGAGAACAAAAAATTTATGAAATCTAAATTTTTATATGAACGGAATTTCATTCTCTAAATTCCCTTCCTTAAGAGAAATTTAATTTATAATTAATGAAAAACCAAAGTGTAGTAAATGAATAATTTAAACAGAAATACATTTGTATTGTTATTCTATTTATTTATGAGAAACATAATGAATCTGATTTTTATTTAGCTGTTCCATTCAGATATATAATTATATTTTTATTAATTCTATATTTAAAAAAAACCATTTATCTGCAATAGAATTCAATTAAGGCCATGAGCAAATAAGATTAATTAATCTTAAGTTAGAATTTTTACAAAATCTTCAAATTTTTATTCTTTCAAACTGCCATCTGATTCTATTGACATACATTCGCATCGCAATCATCATTATGTTATTATCAGACCTTTAAATTATTGTTTCTGTTTAAAAAGTTTACATTTTCATCACTTCTAACAAGCCAATCAATCACATTATAAGGAATTTTAAAAAATAACGATAATCTGAATAACGTCATCACTTATACCCTTATATTTTATACTCCTTACTGTATTGTAAGAATGATATGCTTTAATTTTTAAACTTATAAACAAAAATAAATATAAATTTAAATTATAAAGAATGTTATATGTGTACATTAAGATAAATCAGTTTAATTAAAAAAAACATAAATATTCATTGATCCCATTAATCCTTTATATAGAATAATTATATGATAAATTATTGGTATTTAATATTAATTTTTAGATATATAAATTTTATTAATGAGAGGATGTCTAAAAGTTGAAATCTAAGTAATAATTTAATAATAATCTTTGTAATTGAAAATTAGTTAAAAATAAAAATAAATCTTAACTATAATTAGAAATTTAAAATATTAATTTGAGTATAAAATAGACACACACTTAAATTGCTAAATGGAAATGGCACCATATTGTAATGCTCGATAAATATTTAATAATCTTTATAGAATTATTCATTTTTTATGCAAATATTGATAAAAATTAGGATTTGGAAAAAATTATGCTGGAGATATACTTCAATAAAGACCAAAATTGTGATTTTATAAAAGTATTTTAGTTTATAAACAATTACTTAATAATAATATTTCCTATACTATCCTTTCATTTTTGATTTTTATACAATTAATTATTAATACTCAATTATATAAAATAATTAATTTTGATTAGAAAATATATGGCAAAAGTTTTCATGAAATGAATTAGAAAGTTGAATAAATTTAGTAAAACTTTAAATTATTATCAAAATTATACTTAAATCAAAAGAATAGTTGAATGATAGGATAAATGCCGATATTTTAAGGTAATTTATTGAAAGTTCTAATTATAATTATCACTTAAATAAATATGACTTAATGTATAAATATCTTCTATTAAGTCATATTTTAATTATGTTGGACTTATTATATAAAGGAACTAGAAAGATGGTAATAAATCTAAATAAGTTAAATTAAATAAATTTTAACGTTATCTAAGTCAAATGCAAAATTAAACTATGGATTCAATAAGGAACTCTTCTCGGATTTTAACCCTCTGCCTTAAATAGAAAGAATTAATTGCTTTCAATAGTTGGATGATTACTAATAGTAAAATAATTTAAGAGAAAGATTGCTTTTTTTTTAATTTCGAGAGCAATTGATAAATTAATATAAATTATGACATCACTATTAAACTTTGATTATAAAATATTAAGAATTTAATTGATCAAATAATATATAAAATAACAAGATTTAAAGGTGACAAATTTATAAAAATAAAAATTTTAATTATTAGGAACCAATAACTCAACAAGATATAATTTGTATTTACAAAAAATAAAAATTTTAATTATTAGGAACCAATAACTCAACATGATATAATTTGTATTTACATTTAATAATTATTAGAGAAATTTAAAATCTAATTGGATCTAATGGAAAATGCATTGAACTCTAAAATCTTCAAAACAGTGTTGGTCATCAGCAAAAAGGGCTATTACTAAAGAAGGTGGAAATTTTTTTTAATATTTTAAAATCAGATTTCAGATCTTAGCAACTGTAAAGTTTTTCCATATAGATACCCTATTTTATCAATAAGGGTATTGGTAATAACTTAAAGCTTTAAATGCAATGAAAACACCGATGAATTACTGTATCATATTTGGTTGAACAACAAGTTACTCTTAGCCATTTTATATATATAAATATGAAAAGCATTTTAGTAATCAGTATATAATTGGATAGAATATATAATAAATAATGTTAAAGAAAAAAAAGATAGTTGATTGAGATATAATAAATAAAAAAGTGATCAGCCAAGCATCAATGAGGATAATTGCAGCTTAGATTGCTAAAAACTTAAATAACTTTGATGAGTCAAAATTAATTATTAAGAATGTATAAATAAGAAATGGAAGAACAAGCAAATAATTACAAAGCATTTTCTTTAATAAATCTCAAGAAGAGTTAAATTAAAACAATATTTAATACAGCTAGTCATTTCAAAAAGAAGGATTTTATCTATTGTTTTAACTTAAAGGTTGCATCAATAATTTAAATATTAAATTAATAAATGGGACTTATTTAAATAGATATGTTATTAGATAAACTAATTCTATATTAGAAATAAAAGAAAATCGAAAATCATCCTCCAAATTGAAAAAATAGCGTATCTAAAATTTGCCATATAACATAAATATGAAAGATATCTATGGAAGAATTCAAAGAAATAAATTCAATCTTATTTTAATTAAATTGTGGGAGAGACTATAGTAGGTATTATTTTTAATTTAAAGTCTGAGAATGTAATAGTGCTGTAACTTTTAAGATATAAATAATAATAAATGATGATGCAATTCAAGGAGTCAATTAGATAATAATCTCTTAGTATTTCAAACATTAAATTATTCTTTTATGATTTTTAGAGTTTTTTTTGATAGAAAATAAGATATGTTTCAATAAGATAAAAACATATTCAATGATTCTTTCAAACTCTATACTTTAAAAACTGTTTTAAAATGATTCTTGAGAAATGAAATAATTCTTTTTTTCTTTAAGTTTTTAATGACCAATCAAAAAGAGTGGATTAAGTGAGGATTTTTTTTATATTTTATTCTATTGTTAATCAATAAGTTTTTTCTAATATTTATAAGCAATATCTTATTTATTGTTGTGTATGTTTAAGTGGAAATATTTTGTATCATTTTTTAGTAAAAATTAAAAAGAAACGATTCGACATTATATTGATTTCTTAATAGAATTAGGATGACATAAATTAGGGCGTGAATGAATATATCTTAGATATAAAATATTAAAAAAAATGATTTAATAATCAAATCTAAAGTTAAAATGTTAACAAAATGATCATAAGGATGAAATAGACACAGTTTGTTACAACTAGTATTGCACAGAATTTAGATTTAATTGTTTTAAATGTATTAAAAAAGGAAGAATCCATTATGATCATTTTGATGATGTTGAAAAAATTAACAGTTTGATGGATTTTATTGAAAGTAAAAATAATGAATGTGATAATTTGATTAATGATCTTAATACATTTATTGAAAATATGAATTAATCATTTTCATAATTAAAAATGGGAATCAAATAAAAATATTCATTATCAAAGGAAAGATTAGTATATTTGAATTCATTATAATTAAATGATTATTTAAATTCAACTATCAAATTAATTGAATACAAATAATCAATCACAACAATCATTTCAGAATAAACAAAGAAACTAACTCATTAATTTAATAATTTATATTAATAATTATAATTATTATAATTTAATTATTATTAGATTCATGATAATTCTATAAAATTAT